TCTAACGGACGTTCTTCTCAGATGCCATAAGGAATCCTGTCCGCTTACATACCCTGGGAAAAAATCTCAGCCAGTGTGGTGGAACAAGAAACTTGGTGAGCTCAGGAAAGCGACCAGACGACTGTATAACAGGGCGCATAAGTCTAAACTCGACACTGATTGGAACTCCTACAGAGTTAGTTTCAATAAATACAAGAGTGAGATAAAACGCGCGAAGAAAAAGTCATGGGTAAATTTCTGTGAGTCGATAGAAGGGGTCAACGACGCTGCTAGGTTTCGAAAACTACTATCCAAGGACCCGAAGTCCATCGGTAGTATTAAGAAGCAAGATGGATCGTGGACGGACTCAGGTTCTGAGACTCTTAATCTCCTAGCTGAGACTCATTTCCCGGGTTGCAAAGACATGGGTACCATCGACGGTGATCGTGATGACACTCGGCCTTTTGCCATCCCGGATCTGGATCTCATTAGCAGGGTGGTTAACAGAAATAAGATACGATGGGCGGTCAACACATTTAAGCCGTATAAATCGCCAGGACCGGATGGTATTCTTCCGGCGATGCTTCAATATGCCTCGCCAAGTATTTATCTGATCCTTGAGAAGATTTATACTGCGTGTCTGACTCTCTCGTGTGTTTCGGATCTATGGAACGAGGTAAAGGTCACTTATATTCCCAAAGCAGGGAAACCAAGCCACTCTGCACCAAAAGACTATAGACCCATTAGCCTATCATCCTTTCTCCTCAAGACCCTCGAAAGACTGATCGACCTGGAGATAAGGAGTCGTATAGACACCACTTCTCTCAGCAACTCACAACACGCATACATAAAGGGCAAGTCTGTGGAATCTGCACTGCACGAAGTGGTGGGATATATTGAGAGGAACATGGAAAACTCAAATTTTACGCTGGCAGCCTTCTTAGATATAGAGGGAGCCTTTAACAACGTTAAACTTGAATCCATAAACCACTCATTTAGGGAAGTCGGCATTCCTGATACTCTGACATATTGGATAAATAAAATGCTTAACAGTAGAATTATAATTTCAAGTGTGGGGGATACAAAAATCAGGAAAACAGTAACTAAATGCACACCTCAAGGAGGGGTGCTTTCGCCGTTACTATGGCTGCTGGTAATTAATATCATTTTGAGAGAATTGGACGGGGAAGGTATCAAAGTTGTAGCTTACGCGGACGACGTGGTGATATTGATTTCCGGAAAATTTCCGTCTACAAATCTCTGAGCTTATGTTGAGTGAACAACACCCGGTAGCCATTTCTCACCTTTCCCGAAATTCCGGTACCATACGGTGTCACCAGTTTCAAAGCTTCTGACGGGTCTGGTCTTTCCAGAACTTTCATCCTCTGTACCTTTCTTCCTATTTTCCTCGGTAGCAGGATATATGATATCTAACAATGTCTTAATTTTCCTACCCATCAAAATTTCAGCCGGGGATATATTTGAGATTGGGTTCGGAGTAGTACGTAAGCGTAGAAGCATATTTGCCAAATTTTTTGCTATATTTGTTGGAGGCAGTTTCTTCAAATGCGATTTTACGGTTTGTACGAATCTCTCCGCCTGCCCGTTTGAAGATGGATGATACGGCGCAGTGCAAAAATGGCGAATTCCATTTTCCTTGAGGAAAGTTTCAAACTCGCTCGACTTGAAGTTTCGTCCATTATCGGTCACTACTATGTCGGCTAATCCATGAGAAGCAAATATGTCTCTCAATAATTCTATTGTTTTTGTCGATGTGGTATCAGCTGTTGCCTTAACCTCTAACCACTTGCTGTGTGAATCGACTACGATTAAAAAAATTGTGCCAATAAATGGACCGGCATAGTCGATGTGTATTCGGGACCATGGTTTTAAAGTTAATGGCCACGATTTTGCATCAGCTGCTGGTGGATGTTTTCTCTGTTGACAACATTCCTCGCACATTCTGGCTTTCAGTTCAATTTCTTTGTCTAATCCTGGCCACCAAAAGTAGATGCGTGCAATCGCCTTCATAGCGGTCATTCCTTGGTGAATGTCGTGCAGCATCTGCAACATTCTGGCTCGTAATTTCTGTGGTATAATTACCCTGGAACCCCATAGTAAGCAATTATTGTTTACTGATAGCTCGTGTATTCTGGAAGCATATGGTTTAATATCATCGCTGTCTATAGTCAAATTTTCGTCTTTTCGTTTAATGTGCCACATCACATTTGACAATATTGGATCATTCCTTGTTGCCTTTGCGATCACTTTAGCCGTTACCAAGAATTGTCTTCACCTTCGCTGCAATACAAGATTTCCGGTATCTCTGGAACAGTCACTGTCTCCTTTAATGGTAATCTGCTTAATGCATCAGCATTCTGGTGGTTTTTACTTTCGCGGTACTTGATCTCGTACTGGTACGCTCCTAACATCAACGACCATCGTAACATCCGTGGTGATATATGCTGCGGAATGGGCTTCGTAGGATTAAATAGTCCCAGAAGCGGCTTATGGTCAGTCATTATAGTGAACCTTCGGCCACATAAAAACTGTTGGAACTTTTTTATGCCGAATATTATTGCAAGAGCTTCCTTGTCCAATTGCGAGTAGTTACGTTCTGCTGGCTGCAATGTTCTGGACCCAAATGCTATCGGAGCTTCCCTTCCATCTGGCATAATATGTGCTAAGACTGCACCCACTCCATATGGTGATGCATCTCCACATAATATTAGTGGCAATTCTACTGAATAGTGAACTAATAAGTTATCCGACTGTAGCATCTGCTTCGCTCTATTAAAGCTGGTTTTTTGTTCTTTTGTCCACTTGAATGGTGCGTCCTTTTTTAGCAACCTATAAAGTGGTTCCAATACGTCGGCTTTATTTGGAAAAAATCTGTCGTAGAATGTGATTAACCCTAGAAAGGCCTGGAGTTGTTGCTTATTCGATGGTTCTGGAGCATGTGAAATCGCCTTGATTTTCTCGTCTGTGGGTTGTACGCCATGCTGGTTTATGACAAACCCCAAAAATGTCAATTCTGTTGCTGCAAAAATACACTTTGATTTTTTTAATTTTAGTCCTGCTTCTTTAATTCGTTGCAAAGTTTCTTGTGTGCGTTGCCACATTTCTGGTTTAGATGTTCCTCCTATTAAAATATCATCGAGATAAATTACCACCCCTTTCACACCACTTAATATGCCTTCCATAATTCGCTGGAATATGCTGGGAGCCGTAGAAATGCCGAAAGGCAGTCGTGTTACTTCGATCAATCCTCTATGTGTGTTCAGTGTGAGTATTCTGGCTGACTCGTTATCCACTTTCACTTGAGTGTATGCACGACCGAGGTCTAAACGCGTAAACCAATTACAATTTGCTAATGTTGCAAACACTTCTGTGTTCGTTGGCAGCGGGTAAGTTTCGACCTATTAACGTCGGACCATCGCCTGACACTATCAGTAGTGTCAGCTGTTTACTATGGGCCCCTAGTCTAACAGGTACCATAACTTCACCACAAACTTTTAAATTTTTATCCATACCCCACGTACGGAGTTGTATTTGGCTTTGTTTTAATGGTATGTCACCAAATGTATTGTTAAACGCATTTTCTCCCATTATTGAATGGCTGGCCCCGGAATCAATTTCCATTAAGACTGGCTTGTCGTAAACCATAACCTCCTTTTTTATAGACGGAATGCTCTCACTAGCAACCGACAGGATATATTCACTTCCGCTATGATTTGTTTCTACCTGGTTAACTCTGGAATTTCTCGTTGGTCTTCGCTGATACTGACCTTTTGACTTTGATTTTGTAATACACGCCTTTTCAATATGACCTTGCCTTTTGCAAAAATTACATTCAACATCCCTGAACCGACAAGTATCTGGCGCATGGTTACCGTGACATCTGAAGCATTTCTTTTGAGTGTGGTCTTTGACATTTCTCTGCTTGTTCCCCACAACTTTGTGTATTTCTTGATGTACGGAAGCAGTTTTCAACGCTGCAATATTTTTCTGGGCTTCTTCACACGCTATAGCCTCTTCCTGGGCTATCCGTAACGTTAGTTTGTCGTTCGCCAACAACCGTTTCTGCAGGCTTTCATCCCGCATTCCACATACTAATCTATCCCGAAGCATCGTCTCGAGGTTAGAAAATCCACAAAACTGGGACAACTTACGTAGCGCTGCTAAATATTCCGGTATGGACTCTCCTTCTTTCTGGTCCCTACGATAAAATTGAAAACGTTGAATTATTTCATTTGGTTGGGGGCAAAAATGTTCCCGTAGCAAATCGATGGCTTTATCATACGCAAAGTCGTCTTTGGTTATGTCATCTGGTGTTGCAATGGATTTCAACAATGTATACGTCTCTGTGCCGCAGGAAAATAAAAATATGGCTTTCTTTGTTTTCGACTCTGTCCACCCGTTCGCCGTAAAAAAGAACTGCATCTGTTCTTCATAAATCTGCCATTTGCCGGTATTTACGTTGAACTGGCACAAATCCCCATATCTCGAAGCCATCGTCTTTACTTCTGGATTATTTCCTTTAGCACCTGGTTCCATTTGTTCCTCGTCGCCAATTTTATATATTATTTATTCATAGTATATTTTAATTCAATAATTTTATTCGGTTTCTTATACTAGAAATTTAAGCACGTCTTACATTAGAGAATACAAAAAGAGAAGAGAGCTTTCTAATCAAGGAAACAGCTGTTTTTCGTTATTGACGTTTCTCGCTTTGTCCTTGGTTGTACTATTTAGTATGTAACAGAATCGAAAATGGAACACTCCATTCGCTATGCTGCAGCACAAAACGCTGTCCAAAGTTTCTTCTCATAATTTGCAAGAAATTTCACGAAAATATCTAAAAAATTTTCAACAAACAAATCTGAACCTGTTTTCACAAAAATTCTGTTGCAATTTCTTCGAAACATCTTCTTCCAAAAAGCTTATATTTGGTGTTTAGAAAGAATAATTTTCCATGCCCTATTTTACCATTCAGAATATGTCTATGTATTTGAACTTACCTCCGAAAGCATGACAATAGTGGTTATACTTTGCTCCAAAACCATTCTCCAAAAATCTTCAATTGTGTTCTCCATTGGATCTTGTGTTATTATAAAGTTTTCAGAATTATCATATCCTTCAATGAACGATGCATTAATATATGTTGAATTTTCTTTGTGTGGCAAAGGAGAAAGTATTACCTAAGAAAAAAAAAAACATAAACCTTTTTGTATAATATTTTGTTCCAGCTAACAAACCCTGTTTCGGTCATATGGTATAACAAGTTCGCTTCTATTTTTAGACATATTATTTTCACTTCCACCGATAGAAGAAGTTTTGTTAGTTTCATCATTAATAGTTTGAAGTTTCTGAAACGAAAATAAAGAAATAAAATTAATATGTAAAAAAATAATTTAAAATTGGAAAATATGTTAAATTGGTATATGTTTATTAGAAAATATATGGAATGGCATTACTAATCGTAAAATTGTATTAAAACTAAAGGCACCATTTTATATTCATTAAGGTCACAAAAATATATAACTTCATTACTCTTAATGTATTGCTATATGTTAAACTTTATTTCAAACCAAGTCTTCTATTTTTAGATTTTTTAGTTATGTGATCAGTATTTACTTCATATTTATGCATGGACATAAGAGCGTGGACTTTGCTTTTGATTTCATATATTTTTAACAAAATATTTATATTTATATTTGGAAATACTACAATCGCATCAAGTAGATTAGATAGTATGGGATCTTTCGCTTTCCACATAGTGATCTACAGAACCACTTTCAGATATTTTTCATAAAATTGTATGATTTCTTTAAAATCTTTAGATTAAAATTTTACAATTCTCGATAATTTTTTTTATTTCCAGAAATCTGCTTGTCGTATTTACATTTACAATTAGTTTGCCCAAAAATGGGACAAATAATGTAGTTCTATAAAAATACTGAGGGTTCGAACTCATTACATTTGACTTCTACTTTTGCGTACCAACCCTTCTTGCCAGTGAAACTTCTACTTCTTAGAAATAAATCCAAATTAAATCTTATCATTTTCCCCTATTACTTCAACGATTCTACTAAAAGAAATCCATTATTCTTATATGAACAATAGGACTTTATTTAACATATTTCGTGACTTGTTCCAAGTAATTATATAATTAAATATGTTGAGGTATTTTATTTCGATCCCTGACAATTACTTAATTTACTTATTTTGTTGGGGAGGCCAGCCCCCGAAACGAAATTTTTCCACAGTAAATTTATGTTTGCAACAGCGATTTTTTTTCATTTTATACTAGCGGGCCCCCGAAATGAAATCCTGTATACGCCCCTGCCCTGTCCATACTAAAGTAATTTCATGAAATAGTTTACATTAAAGTAGGCGTTTTTAGATCGAGCTCCCCACTACAGTAATTTTAAAAAAATGTTCAATTTAGGAACTCGATCTAAGAGCTCATAATTTCGTGTAATTTGTTTTATAAAATCACTTTTTTATGACCTTCGACTTACCAATCCCAAAACAGACAAAAAAGTATAGCAATATTTTCTAACGTTTTTACCTGGTCGTTCAACTAAGACGATTAAAACTTTTTTCGCATTCATTTGAATAAAATTTAGTTTCTAGATGGAATTTTGTTCGAACAAAATTTTAAACATTAGAATAGTGTTGGACAATCTATTTCACCGTATGATTACATATTTTCAACAACGTGACAACATCCGAAAAATGAAAGAGAACAAATAAAGAATGGAAACTGGAACTAAAAAACTGGACCTAGTTCCTATCGTTCCTTTATAGGAAAAGAATTCTAAAGTTTCTGTTGATATAAATTTATTAATATTCGAATTCGTGGAAAAAAATATTTTTAATAAATTTAAATGCGCATATAAGTTTGACTTTCGGATTTAATTACATTTTCTTAATATATATATAAGACTTCCTCATAACGGTAGCCCAATATTACGGTAGCTTTTTATACCCTCCACTATAAGAGAGAACTTTGAAATTTGCACGTACATTACTACTCCTAAGATATTTGGTATTGAAAATGTTCCATATTGGTTCTCTTTTAAGGGTAAAACGGTATTTTGTAATATGAGGAATTTTGACGATTTTTTAAACAGAATTGGTAGTGATTTTATATTTTGGATTGTCATTGAGTTGAAAATTTCCGTACAAAAAATATTAATGTTTCAGGGTACCGCCCATATTCTCAATATTCGTTATTTTGAAGATCTTTGGCACGGCCTTCAACAGAATTGCTTCTAATTGAATATAAGGGAATTACTGAGCAAAAAAGTTTTCAATATTGGTCCACTTTTGTGGGGTAGCCCCGGTACATACAATATTCGGTATTTTGGGGATTTTCGTCACGCTTTCAAGCAAATTGGTTGTAATTTTATATTTTAGATCATCATTGAGAACAAAATATCATCACAAAAAATTATCAATATTGGTTCAAGTTTCCGGGTAACACCCATAAAATGGTATCCCCCATACCACTACTCAAGTGGTGCCAAATCTTTGTATTAGCTGTAATATGTCATCCCGGTATATTGGGGGGTAAGACACATTTTTGCAAACAAATCTCTATTTAGGTCCAAGTTTTGATATAGCTCCTACATACTGGCCCCCCGTCCCCATTTTCGGTTTTTTAAATAAAGACCGAATTTTTTCAAAGAGTTGGCTATAATTAGGCAAAACGGATTCCAGTGAATAAATAACATCATCCCAGAAATTATGTACTATACCTTAACGTTTAAAAAAACGCCATAAATATTTCCCGTTCAATTTTGCAATTTTATAGTCACATGTTCAACCTGAATAGATAACATCATGAGACTCTTTATTATAATAAATGTTTTCGATGGAGATTTTGGTATCACCTCCACATATGGTATTTTGCCTTGGCTGTTTTTAAATATTACTGTTTTTTTTTTTTTGTTAATTGTTCTCTTTCCTGTTGAGCTTAATGATAGATTTTTGCAAAGAAAATATATTGTATATTAGTTTTATTTCTGTGATACAAATTTTTTATGTCGAATATATGTAGGGTATTCTTTTTATAAGTTCAAAGATATTGACAAATGTTTAGGCATATAACCACCATAATATGGTACCACTTGATTTAGTACTTTAAGGAACAACATGTTCCTATGGATGGACACGAACTCCATTCAGAATGTCTTCTGATTTTCCATCCTAGCAATTGCCCAACATTTATGTGCATTCTATGGAAAACGTGTACATACAATGATCGCGTGTAAATTCAATGATATACATTTAAATTTTTTAGGTATTCTCACATAAAATAGTTTCAATACAATATCAATCCAACTGAAAAAAAATAAATAATAAAATATTTGGAAAATTTTTCAAAATGTCTCAAAATAACATCTGTGGATGTTGCAACCAAAATAGCTACATAATAAATTCGTGGAAATGCAAATATGCTTCATAAATTTTTTTGCAAATTTTTCGCGATTTTCAAATTTTTTGAACCTTTTCCCTGAAGCTCCACTAACATTTCAAGACTAAAATAAGAAAAATCCTTTCAGCCGTTTTCGAGTTTTAGCGAGACTAACGAACAGCAATTCATTTATATATATATATATATATATATAGAATACAAAATTTTGACCCGCTAAATATTGACCGATCTTTATCAAAACAGGCATGCTTATTTTGGCCCGTGCCATAATTGCGGCATCTGGAGCGACCAGAAAAACCGACAAAAATTAAGTATTTGGTCCATTTCATCCCCTAAATATTAACCAATCTTTACCAAAAACAATATTTCGTGAAGATTGGTCCATAACTATGGCCTGTATCGTGTTTACAAATTATAATGGACTGACGGACGGACACACATGTCTAGATCGACTCAGTCGAGATATGACGATCGGTATACTTGTAGGTGGGTCTAGGACCAATATTTCGCGGCGTTACAAACTCTTGGGGCTGCACAAAGCTATAATACCCTGACAACAAAAATTCAAAATATATTTAATGCTACTATATACTACAAATGATCAATTCATATACTTATAGAATGATATCGAGATACGATTTGGTATGAATGTATAAAATTACATATTGTTATTCTTACCTCAAATTCCATTTCCAATTTACACTTTTCCCTTCCGTCATCCAATTTGGATTTCAGATTCTCCACAGCAGCTGATAGTCCAATGGCATTTATTTCTGTATTTCCTAAATGCGCTGTGTCTAGCAATGCTCTATACAGAAATATGTATTGTTTCTGGAAAATATACAATAAAACATTTCAACATTTTGGATGTATTCAAATAGGTTATATCGCTTAATAAATGCCAATAGCTTCAACACCTTGGGTCAAAAACATTAGTTGTGAAAAGATTCATTGATATAAAATAATAAATACAATGAAGAGTATCTCAGTTAAAATCAAAAATATATAATTTTTGAATGCCTCTGAGCAATACCTTGGGCCAAAAAAGATTCATCATTCTGTTATGACATATATTTTTTGATCAATAATACCTCACATACTGAAAAAATGTCCCGACCTTCTTCATAATGGCTTTCGAAATAGCATTGTAATCACACGACGTTTTATTTATGTGTCCATAAAAACCCTTATTTATGGAAACGTTGCATGCAATAATTTTCTATTTTCACTCTAAATATCTTTAGTGTAGTGTAAACAATTTTTAAAAATACTTCAAATGAATCGAGGTCTGACCAAAAAATGTTTACCACAGTTCATGTTTTAATTACGTGACCACAACTAAATTAAACACTTATGAAGAGAAATCAAATTATAACACTACCTTCGAACATACAAAATAACGTTCTAGGACATTCCAAAATAACATTTAAAAATAAAAAATTACCAATTCATTTTTAAATAAGAGTAGTTTGTACATGTTTTGCAATACATTGTATTAAAACTATTTGTACACATTAACTTATGAGAAACTTTTATTTTGATTTTTAAACTATTAGTGCATTTCCAGCAATTGAAAGTATTCTCTCAGATTCCACAGAAGTTTGTTTTATGGATAATCAAATTTTTAGTTCTAAAATAGAATTAGTGACAAGTATTTGATTTTATATGTCAAACCTTTCATCACTACTAAATGACACACCAGATTCCCGTTCCCACGACAATCGGATCTACGCTCCGGAACGACCCGAGTTCGACTCGGCCAGGGATTGTCAACCCAGCGACAGCTGTACAAAACGAAAGTTTTTTCCACAGGTGAGCAATTCATGTCGGCAGCTTTGCTCGCCATTCTTTTAATCCGTGCCGGCGTTGAACAAAACCCAGGCCCTGATGTCTGGTTTTGTTCAGTGTGTCATCAACGCATCGCTGCAAATTCCACCTCTGTGCGATGCAATGTTTGCAACAACTGGTGTCACCTGAGGAGGTGCTCAGGTCTCACCTCACACCGCGACTGGTCACACAGCTTCATTGCCAGCTGTTGCCTGCAGCCTTCGACATCTAGCACCTTAACTCCAACAGCCCCGAGAAATTCCATCCGTTCTCAGCAACCTGCCCAGAACTCCAAGTGGTACTGTTCGGTTTGCGGGGAAGTAATACGGAGAAATATGACATCTGTAAGGTGCAATGGCTGCAGAAACTGGTGCCATATGAGAAGATGTACCACCCTGCGTTCACACAGGAATTGGAATCCAGGCTTTGTAGCCGATTGCTGCACTAACAATCCAGCAATATCCGCTAGAATCCAGTGGAGTCCTTCCAGTACTACGGCTAGCACTCCGTCTAGTTTTCCATCCAGTAGTACTGCTACTAGTGTGAGTACTAGTGGTAGAGCTAGTCATTCCGTTAGCTCTTCCTCCAGTTCTGCTGCTAGCTCCCCGGCTAGTTTTCCTTTAAGCAGAACTCCTACCAGTTCCAACGCTGGTAGTTCCACTAGTTATTCTACTAGTGATTCGCGTACTACGGCTAGCACTCCGTCTAGTTCTCCATCCAGTAGTACGACCACTAGTGCTCATACTGGTAGTGAAGTTAGTTATTCTACTAGCTTCTCTTCCTATTCTACGGCTAGCACTCCGTCTAGCCATTCATCAAGTAGAATTCATTCTAGTGTTCCGACTAGCACTCCTTCTAGTCATCCTATTCCAACAACGAATGCTCAAAACTTCCCATCCAGACAACAGCGTTACAGGCAGGTTTTCCGTTCGCCGAATAACTCCACCCGCCTGCCTCCACAGCAGCAGTCCATGCAGGGGTGTGATCCAAATACCTCATTCCTAATCATGCAATTTAATTGTAATGGTCTTAGGAATAAGGTAATTGAGATCACAAACTTCATGCATGAAAACAACATCCTCATTGCTGCCTTGCAAGAGACGAAGCTGACCAGTAGTTGTTCCTTATCCTCCTCCGGGAATTACAATATCATTCGGCGAGACAGAGATAGAGACCATGGCGGGGGACTCGCATTCATCATCCAGCGAGATGTCAGATATACTCTGACTACCCCTCCATCTCCTTCCCAGTCTGATCCTTTCCTGGAGGTTTTGAGCATTTCAGTTCATTCCGACGATGCTGAAATTGAAATTGTCAATGTATATATTCCGCCCGTCAACAGCATTGGGGCTAGTTATCATCCAAGCATCATCCATCTGCTGCAGGGAGATAATAAACTTGTTCTTGGCGATTTCAACGCTCATCATGAGATATGGTATTCTCAACTTCCAAATGATCCTCGCGGTGTTCTTATTGCAAACCAGATAGACGAGTCCGATTTCGCTTCCATCAATGAGGAATCCTCTACCAGAGTCACTGCCAGGTGTTCGAGCTCTCCGGACATTTCCATCGTCAGTCCATCGCTCCTTCCATATACTTCCTGGCAAACCAAGGTCGCTTTAAATTCAGACCATATTCCCATCCTGGTCACGGTAGAGAAACCCAGCGATTTCGTAGAGCCCGATCAGCGTACATTCATGAATTATAATAAAGCCAACTGGCACGGCTTCACAAAATTCATTGAGGACTCCTTAAGTCCTATGCCGCCACCCGTATGTGCCAGAAAGGGTGAGAAGATTTTCCGAGAAATTATTCAAAAAGCGGCAAAACGCTTTATTCCTGCGGGCAGAATTCCTCTAATGAGACCAAATTATCCATCCAGGGCATCCAGATTGGCACAGCAACGCGACCAACTCCGTGCCGAAAGCCCCGCTGACGACAGAATTCCGCAGCTTAGCGCTGAGATAGATGCTCTAGTCCTTGAGCACAGGCGCTCTAAATGGTTAGAACACCTTAACCACTGCAACATTAATTCCAAGCAGCTATGGTCCACAATTAAGAGTCTATCTGGTTCCAAAAGAAATAAAAATCTCCCTGCTATTTCCTTCGATAACATTCAACATTCCGATGCCAAAAAATGTGCAATGCAGTTCTGCCGCCAATTCATTGAGCATCCATCTTCGCAGAACAGGACCAAGCGAGCAGTTATCCGGAGATCCAAGAATCTTAAAAGAAACTTGCAGCCACTATCATTTACATCCAGCGAGGTAGAGGCAATTATCTCCAAATCCAAACCATCCAAAGCCCTTGGTCCAGACGGCATATCCATGTTCATGTTAAAGAAGCTTGGAGCAATAGGGCTGGGCTATCTGACCAAAGTCCTCGAGTTATCGATGTCACAGTTGGTAATTCCTGACATTTGGAAAGTTGCCCGGATTATTCCAATCCTAAAACCTGATAAATCCGCTACTAATGGGGAATCCTACCGCCCGATTTCTCTGCTGTCGCCAGTAGCCAAGGTTTTAGAGTCTCTATTGCTTCCGTCCCTGAAACAGCATTTCGTTCTTGCTCCCCACCAACACGGTTTCAGGGAATCATATAGCACAACAACGGCTTTGCAAGAAATTACTTCCAAGATTGCGAATGGCCTCAATCAGCGACGACCACCTGAACGGACCATTGTGGCAGCTCTAGATCTGTCCAAGGCGTTTGATACGGTCGATCATTCCGAGCTGATTTCCGATATCACAAATTCCACCCTTCCGTGTGATATCAAACGTTGGCTTGCCAACTACCTTAATGGGCGGCAGGCCTTCGTTGAGTTCCGTGGCCAAAAATCCAAATATCGCAAGATCAAAATGGGAGTACCGCAAGGCGGTGTCCTTTCTCCCATTTTGTTCAACATGTATCTTGCGAAACTCCCCATTCCTCCACCAGATGTTTCAGTGGTGTCGTACGCCGATGACTGTACGATTATTTCGTCCGGCGTTAACATTGACGACGTAAGTGCAAGAATTTCCAGCTATCTAGCCACCATCACCAACTTCTTCCGGGAGCGCAATCTAAAATTATCCACTGCAAAGTCTACCGTGTCACTTTTCACTTCCTGGACGCGAGAAGTCAATCTAGAACTTGACATTTCCGTTGAAGGTAGGCGCATCCCCACCGTCCATAATCCGAAAATCCTTGGGGTGGTCTTCGATAGCCTCCTTCATTTCTCCTCGCATTCCAATTACATCAACCAGAAGGTGAAAGCTAGGAATAAAGTTCTGAAAGCTTTGGCTGGCACCTCCTGGGGCAAGGATAAAGAAACGCTGGTAACGACTTATAAGGCTATAGGTCGTTCCATCCTGAATTATGCTGCCCCAGTCTGGACTTCTTTCCTTAGCGACACACAATGGAGATCATTGCAAACTTCCCAAAATAATGCACTCCGAATTGCAACCGGGTGTGTCCAGATGACGAGCGTCGATCACCTCCATGAGGAGACCAGGATGCTGTCAGTCAAGCAACATAATGTGTTGTTGACTAGACAGTTCCTGCTGGCATGCTATCTGCCGTGTCATCCTAACCATCACATTGTGATGGCAGATCCACCTCCGCGACACATCCGCCAGGACTTCAGGCGCTATCGTGATGGCATCCAAGACGTCATTCCATCGGACGTCAACAGATTGTCGATAGCGAATGCGATGAAATCCGTGCATCAACTGGCGGTCTCCGATGCCATAAATGGCTACAGATGCAATAAAGTCCTACAACAACATCCTCCTGCAATTTCGGAAAGTGAGAGGCTTCTCCCTAGGCAAACCCGTTCAATTCTGGCACAACTAAGGTCCGGATACAGCAATGTACTCAACTCGTATCGAGAGCGCATTGTCCCCGGAACCCTAAACAGGTGTCCCTCCTGCCAGCAAAGCCCTCACGACACACACCATTTATTCAATTGTCCGTCCGAGCCTACGAGTCTACTGCCCATAGACTTATGGCTAAAGCCATTAGAG